ACAGCAGTCAACAATGGAGTCCTAATGTCTACTGCACTCCCCATATGTTTCAAGACATGGCCTCTCCTCTCCCAGGCCTCACGCTGAGTACAGGAGCCCTGAAGAGTAGGAACACAGCGCTTGTCCAGGAGGCACCCAAGTGGGTTGGGGAGAGACCTCTTGATCAGTGCTGAGGGGTAGAGCGGGACTCCATATGGGTTGGTGGGTTCAAGCTGACTAAGCATTTGGTGAACAAATGGGAGAAACGCAGTCCAAGCAGTGGTAATAACAGACACAAAGGCACAGAAGGTTGAAAGAACATTCGGCGGTTCCTGGGGCTGGGTTGTGTGAAAATGGGAAGAAAGGAGAGAAGGCAGTTGGAAAGGTCAACAGAGCCGGTCCCTGAAAAGCCAGCCGAGACTGGTTCGACACAAGAGTAGAGGGAGTCCCAGACGATTATAAAGTATCAAGTGGAGCAATCAAATTTAGGTTTAGGTTTGGTGGGGATACAAGCTGGATAACAGACACAGCCAAGATAACCACCCAGCAGGCTCTGTCAGCTCACTGAACACTTGGAACAACCTAATGACTTAAGTGTAAGTATTATTTTCATTTCTGACTTTCAGAGGAGAAAATAGAGGTTAGATATCCTGTCCAAGGCCACAGAGCTACTGAGTGGTAAACTTGTAATCCAGTTAAAATTACTACCCATTTTGTCATACTCAGATCACTGAAGGGCCTGTTCAAGTCCAGGAAGGGGTTCATGGTGGTGACCATGGAAACGGAGTGGTGTAGATGCACCCCAGTGCTCTCTAGTAGCCAGCTCCAAAGGGCCTGTGTGGTAGGGGGAGTGAAGGTGAAAGGTCCCAAGAGCCTTCTGTTGTGGTGTCCAGGGATGGCAGTGTACGCACAAGTGGGGAAACTCCTGAGGTAGCAGATATTTGAGGAGATGATAGTGTGGACCTGGAAGGACCTGCTGGTGACCTGGGGGAGGCAGGCTGGCAAAGAAACCTGACTGAGGGGGAAGGGAAGTCCCTTCCCTTTCTCTCTATCCCCAGAATGAGGCAGCAGGCCCACCACCCCCAAACATCCTAGACCCCATACGGTTCAGAGGAAAAGAACATGGGCTTCCTGGAGGGAGCTGGAGCCATCTGGAGCCCCTCCCCCAAGTCCTCTGACTCTGGGCAGCTGCCTGCCTGATAGGCAAAGCAACAGGGTCCAGCAGGGGCGGAAGGGTGCCGGCTGTCTGCCCCCCGAGCTGGCACCAACAGCAGGCAGCGGGTGTCAAGCCTCCCACCCCCCCCAGGCTGCTTGGCGCTGACTCAGCATCTCCCTCACCCCGGAACAAACAATTCCCCGCTGTGACAGCTGACACATGTCACTCACCAGGGTTGCCTAGTGACTAGTAGGACCTGGGGTCCTGGCTCAGAAGGTTCTACTTCTTAACAACTTTGGATTGAGACCTACATCTCCTCTCCCAGACATCATGTCTACAAGCCCATTTTCCTGACGATGAAACTGCTCCAGCTAGCTAAGATGACCCAGCTAAAAGGCTGAAGAAGCATAGTGGCTCATAGTAGTAGGGGTTCCAGAATGGTCTGTTGAGAGAACAAAGATGCTGCTCCAAACCTTAGTAGACTTCACCTCAGTCCAGGTCGCCTGCAAGGGCAAAGTCTGGGTCTTATGGAGCCCGACTCCCTTGCAGCTGCTATACAGGCTGCACTGAGAATCTCCTGAGAAGAGGGGTTCTATCGGAGAAAGAGGGGCATGTGAGTGGGAAGTGGGCTTCTTGAATTTCAGGAGCCAGCTGTCTCCTGTGTGTCTTCATTCTTTCTGGTTCTTAGGAACCAAGCTCTCCTGCCCAGAAAGGACTGTCCAAAGCCCTGAGCCTGGGACAGGAAGCTCACTCAGAAAGATCTTACTGGATCTGAGGTGACTGAAGAATAGAAAAACAGAGCAGAGGGCAAGAAAAAGCAAAAGGAGCCAGAAGACTCAGATCAAGACTAGAACAAAGTGAGGGATAGGGCTAGAGACAGGGACATGTTTGGAGACACTCTGGGCCTAGGATCTTCATACAGTAGCGGCTTGGCGTACATGAAAGAGACGGGAGGGCAAAAGGAGAGATGGGGGAATCCCCCCCCCCAGAGAGGGGGACTACCGGGGAGCATGCAGCAAGTACCAGGAAGAAAGGAAGTGGGGGAGCAGGAAAGAGGCAGGTAAAGCGAGGAGGAAGGGAGGCAGGCTGTTTGTAGTCAGATAAGGGACCCTAGGAGAGGATGAAAGACCAGTGAACTCTGTGTAGGTGCACACAGAGAGTGCTAGTAGCTACAACAGACTGAGGCCTGGATGGGACTCATTTGGGGCAGAAACCTCAGAGCAGGGCAGAGGGGAAGCTGGAAAGGGGGGGACAAAGACCCCAACAGTGAGCCAGAGGCTCACAGTTCTGTAGTGAGGAGAAAGGGCCCAGGTAGAGGAGGCCCTCGGGAGGGCCCAGGAGAGAAGTAGGTAGAAGAATCCTCTCTAGGGATAAGCTATCAGGATGAGATGAGACAGACATTCTGAAGAGTCAGGCTAGGCCAGAGTGAGGGCAGACCAGGAGTGGGGGGCATGAAAGACATGAAAGGGCATGCGTGTGGGAATAGGAAGGGAGCTGGAAAGCGGAAAGGAACTGGAGGGTTACCCAAAGTGAGACAAGGTGGGGTTAGGTTTCTGGTGCTACTTCAAATCTGTCCCTCAGGTCAGAGAAGGGTCCGGGAGGGGACAGGGTTAATGGGTTCCAAGATATGCGGGTATTGTAAACAGATGCAGTTGCCATAGCAACCGGCTCCATCACACTGGTTGGAAAAACCCACAAAGGAGGTGTGTGTGTGTGTGTGTGTGTGTGTGTGTGTGTGTGGAACAGACAAACTGCCCGATGGACAGACGGGGGTGGACGGATGAGGATGTAGAAGGATCAAGAATTCCGCCCCCTACCCAATGACTGGATGAAGCAAGGAGAGGGTCAGGGCCTACTGACATACCCACAGACAGGTGGGGGCGGTGAAGGAAGGGGGGCTACCCCCCGGGAAGGAAGCCGACAACAGGGGTATTAATGACGCGGGGGTGGGGGGGCGGTTAGGGAACAGAAAAAAATGGAGGG